TACCGGTAGCGGATTATTCAATTAAGCTGAAAACATCATCTTAACGTCAACAGATGGCGATCCTCTAAAACACTATATAAAGGAGTCTTGGAGTGAAGCTGGATCAGTCTTCTGCAATGCTTCGCATAGAGCTTCAAAAATTGTTAATGCATTAAACAGCAAGATTTTACCTGTTTAAACGTATTTGTATGTTAAAGTTAAACAGACAATGAACAGCTTATAAACTCGCAGATACAAATTGATTACTATGTGCCAATAAACATAAGTCTTCGAGGATTCTTACTTCATTTCTTCAACAAGCAACCAACCTACTGGACACTAATAAAGGGTCAAACAAAAGAAGAACGTGTCGATCAGCGTTAGAATCAGAAAGAAAAGATACAAGAAGCGATCTAGAAAAATCAGTAAAAAAACTAAAAATAATTCTTTTTATTTAGTGCGGAATGTTGGAAATCTTCAGACTTTAGAATAAATACAATTGAGAAACAGATAAATAAAAAAAAGCAGATTTTTTCCTTTTTTTATAGCTGTACAAATTACTCTGCCTCCTTATTACAAACAGTCTTAACAAGCGGTAAAATTAATTTCGGTTGCGACTACTGAGTACTAAAAAAATTAACAAAGAGATTTTTATTAAGATAAGACAATCCCAATCTATTAAATACCAGAACTTGCGAAACTGCAGCTTTGACTTCTGAATCTAACTGTTTGTCAATTACAGAGCACTTTTTTTTTAAGTCAGCTCTGTATGGCCAGTTCAAAACGTACGATTTTTGAGTACAGAGAGACAGATTAACTGCAGCTGAAACAAATGGACAGGTCCACTTTTTGCGTCTATAAAGACGTTCCTTATTCATGTAGCTGAAAAGAAAATTTAAAAACGATTACAATACCTCCAGACGACAAGTGCAGAAAGAAATTTATAAACGTTATGTTCAAAAAAAAGGAAGTACCTTTGTTTCCATCCGTGAATAATGAAGTCATTTTCACACCATTTGGAGTCTGTTAGCCAACTATCCCTCACCCAAGCAGTTCTTTTTGGTAATATCGCTATTCTTTTTTTCCAGGACAAATCTTTTTCTAATAAAATTCTAATGCAAGCTATATATACGAAAACACGTTTAATGTTCCTGAAAATTTCAATTATTCCAAAATGTTACTGCCTTCAAAGGTTTTATGAGATTCTATCAAGCATTAATTATTAAATTGATTAATCAGTAAGTGTATGTTAAGCTTACTTTGCATTCCACCATAATCCTCTGCATTGATCCGGATTTATATTTGTCGTAGAAAGCAAAGCAGTCTGCAAAACAGTCATCATAGTATTATGTAGCGACAGATGTAGAGTATTATTTAAGCCGTCGCTCACAATATTTCTTCAGTTAAAAGTAGAATAAGTGGAAACTGTCAAAGAACTTTGTATAACTTTAACGTAGTCTCTTCATTTTTTTGGAATCTCAAAATCAACATGTTTTTTTGTCGCTGGACTGTTAATCGTTGATTTATTCGAGCAACGAAGCTTTCACAATTCTGTATGTATTACATTCTGCTTGTTAAACGTTTTTAAAAATGTTTGCGATCTTAGACGTGAGGTGTTAAATTCCATCTTCAAGTGGCATACCAATGCTAAACAATTCAAAACTCTCAATTTGATTAAGCCGCATAAATTAAAGCAACCAACATGTATTGCTATGTTATCAGTGTCTGCAACTTTAGGGAGAGGTCGGTAATCCATATCTGCCCATTGCCTGAGAAACTCGAGTGCGAAGTTGGTTTTTCTAGAACAAAAGTGAGCATAAAGTATGAGCTAAAATATTAAGCTGGAGAATATAAAGTTAAAATTTTTTTCTGACTTTTATTGTTTCTTGAAACCTATCATATATTAATGTGAAATACGAAATAGGCTTTTTTGAACATCACACTCAATTTTTTTTTACTTTTCGGTGCTGACTGAGTGCTGAATGCGCCTTAGTACTTCGTTTTCTTCCCCTTAGACTGTTTTGTTTTTTCTCCTATTCATTAAAAAAAATTAGCTCAGCGCATGCAGTAAAAGCAGTGCGAAGGTACAAAAGCAGAAAATTTGACGGTCTGTGTCGGTCTACATTCACAGCAAGATCCAGCACAATAACTGTGTTCTTTGAATTTGCAAGCTCACTGAAAAAGGTGCTTCTCAGGCACCAATTTTAAATCTCGAAGGACCGCTGGAATCGAAAGGTAACAGAATTACCTTTTAACTAAGTTTAAAAATTGTGTTATATTTTCCAGAACTGTTTCTTCTTATTGATTCTTTCTATTAACAAGCAGAAGTAAGTCAAAAACTAGTAATAATTAGAAGCAAATTGAGTCTTTAAGCAACTTGTTTTATGTCACACTTTAGAAAAAGTTGTAAAAAGCAGTAATATTACTATTACAACTTAAAACAAACGTAGTTTATGTTTTTAACTTACTTAGCGATGTAGCTTCCAGCAGCAACTTCGTTGTCGTAAATTCTGTCGTAAAATATAAGATCTTTGTCTTCCAGAATAAATTCCTCAATAAACCTGTTAGGGTTTATGACACCGTTGTCAGCATCAATCATCATTATGTAGTCAGCATTTAATTTTTCCAAAATTTCTGCTGCGATACAATGGCGCTTGAAGAAGAACTGAAAAGTTGAAGAAAGAAATTCGTTAATTCCACGCTGTTTGAAAGCAGTCTTTGTTCTCCAAGTAGCATTACATTGTACTTACACGTTTTTGCCTACAGAAGGTTCCAAATGATTTGTTTCTGGATAAGTCAACTTCAATCCAAGAGTATTTCCTTTGAGCGCAATAACACCTAAAGGTGTCAAGTGCCAATTGGTACTCAGACGGTTCTTTATTATATATTGTTAAAACCGCTATTTTCAGGCTTCCTTTTCCTTTTTTACTTGTGGGGTATGGTGAAACATATTCTCAAAAGTGGAAAAAAGAATTGTTATCTTATATTTCAAGAACACTCAACTGCATCTTCAAGATAATATGTCTGTTAAATACGACTTTTAAGATTGCCGCATTATTTGAGAAAAATTTTTTGAACAACTGTCTAATGAGTAGCGAGCATAAAGATATTGTTATTTATATAGCAATTAGTTTTGTTAAGGAGCATTAAATGTATCAGAAAGAATTAAACATACCGGGTTGCATTTCACTGTAGCAGAGTCGACTATCAGAAGACGTCCAAAAATTTCCTAAAACCCAACAGATGTGTAAATCGTGTACTAAGGACTATATAAAATGTCCTCAAAAATTTCACTCATAGGAAATAAAAATACAGATTCCAGTTATCATGTAGTTAACAGTCTTGACTGCAACGATTGGAAGTTAAGGTGCTGTTTAATTGCAAATCTAGAGGTTACGGCAAAGAGCATTTGATGCATTATACTGAATAAGTGTCGGAAAATACAGTAAAATGAGTAGTTAGAGGCTGTGTCTCTTCCAGTAGAAATTGTTAATTGAACCATATATAAGAAAATATTAGTTATAATTTTTACCTATAGCTGATTTGTTGAAGTAAGGTAGTAGCAGAACAAAAGTACCGAAAGTGACTATAACCGCACGACCAAATAAAGTACTACGCAATTTGGAAGAAAATAACCGGCGACTAATAACCATCGGTTTAAGCACAGTTTGATGCTGCTCTGATTTCTTAACAATGTGGTTTGCATAAGTACATCCTTTTTTTGGAATCAACACTTTTATATGCAGCATAAACGGTTTCGTTTTTACGGTTGAGAAATATTATGCTTTGTTAGAAAAATCTTTTCAAATCAGTTCTTTAAAATCTTGGTGCTTGATGTCATTTATCCGTATCTTTAAGCTAAAGATAGATATCTTCAAGCCGTAGACTGCTGTTTCAAAAACTTCTACCCGAATTTAGTCTTCTAATAGAAATTAGTCGTTTGATGTTAATTCAAGACTACTTTTTGTCGGTGAGACAAAGTAAATCTGTTTTACAGGGCGAATTTACTTTACTTCAAC